TAAGTCAGTAGCGCCTACATGTAGATTGATTCAATCCATCAAGTGGATAGGATTGAAAAAAACATTAACTAAAAGAAAGAGCAGAGACGTTGAGACGTCTATAGAATAAGCCAATGCTTGCAATGACAAGTTTAGTGCTGCATCTACACATATAGTTGAGACCCAAGAAGATCCGGGGTAGAATAGGTCTTCAGCAACCCATACTTGCCGTAACAGGCGACAGTGCTTGTCCTAAGAGGCGACTAATGGGTTCAGGTGTCAGGCTGGCTGACTTGGTTGATGCATGTCATCGTATCCCAATTTCGTTGATCGATGCTCATGATATCAACCACTGGACTGTCTGGTCTAGACTCGATTATTTACAGACCGCCGTCATATAGTTCGAATATTGCTGAGTGCGGCGTTAAACATCAAACAAGCAAACATAACAAACACACAGTTGATGTGATGATGAGGAGGAGGAGGCCAACGCCAACGCCCACGACAGCACTTAACGTGTGTTACAACACACCAGTGACTGGTATGTATAAACAACCAGTAAAATATTGTCATGTACATAATACTGTGATTATGTGTTGTTTTACGCCGCAATCGGCAATAACGATAACACGCATGGACAAGTAACCGAGCCTGACCACCCGATCAAAGCTAGTCGCGTCGTACGATAAGCTGGGTTTGCTGAGGACCTGTTCTATCACGGAACATATGATACAGTGGTCACTGACCTATGCATACATACACAGGTAATTGAATACATATGTCAAGGTCCACTATAGCGAGTCAAGGTCGGTGACCAGCATCGTGGACTCGGTACTTACTTCTTCAAGCCTGATTGACCACGGAAGGACGGTACGATACTCACAAACCAAGGCCACTATCCTTAACCCTACATTTGCTAAGGCCGTTAACAGTGACACGGCAATGTTATCCCACTGATAAGCATAAAGCAGAAATAGTATGAATTTATCTCAAACGCTCGGTTGGGCGCACTGCGTGAACGTCGGCCGCTTGAGTCAAAACGAACATGCATGCATCATGAATTTACTGCAAGAGCGAGGGGAGACGTTTTATTGCTGAGAATGCACTCAGGGATGTAACGTGTTTGAACCTGGTATACATAATTTGTACATTTGTTGGAAGCGTGTTCTCTCTGGGAGTGACATGAGATTAAAACACGCCTTCCTTGCCAGCTGAGATCTTCTCTTAGTCACCAAATTATCATTTTGACGGAACGTGTTCAGAGGTGTGGTGCGAATGTCAAGGCCACGTTTTCGTGCACTGGCTCCTGCCCATGTATATATTGCAGCACGTGCAGCATAGCAATAGATCCTCTTAATTACGCGAAATGTCAAAAGGTTAAAGTCTACACACGTCATGTGACGTTCAAGATCACGTTATTAATGCATGTTATCGTAGAGATATGTTTCAATAATGCACTTTCAGTCAGATTATTTTGTGTTCTTTTTTATATGACAAAGCGTGAATCACGCCAATCGTTGTGTGAACCTAGCGCGCACTTGGAGCACTTATCTCTCGCCTTGACCTGGCGCATGGCCTCTTGACTTCTCCACACAGGGTTCTAGTAGGGTGCAGCACAGATGTTAGGGATATCCGGAGCTCATCACACGTTGCCACGGGTGGTCTCGTGAGCTCAAAATGCTCATCACACATGATGTGTCCATTAATTGCAGTAGTTCTATTCTACTTTTTTAAATTGAAATGTAATTTATTCTATTGTTTAATTGTTACACGTTTAGTTATGATTTTCATTCAGTCATCCTGTCGCTTGTAGGGTATATACAGTATCTGTGGTTGTATGTCAACTATTGATAGTATTTCTTGTCTTAGATGACTTGTCACCGGATAGTTGCATTGTATCGTTAGTTCCGTCATCCACTTTACAATGAAAACAGTTTTCACATTACTACAAAGTATCCCATACATTTCAAGTGTATCGTTCTCGGAACGGAATAGCTGCTTAGTCATAAAAGGTGACTTCAATGTTACTGACTAAGGTCCACGTTATCCGTATATTGCGCTTCGCAATCTCAAACACGGATATTCGTGTATGAATATGTACTGAATATGTACATACGGATGTCCTACACGGATGTCCTCCACAAATGTCATTTTACGGATGTCCTCCACAGCTGATCACCCACTCTAAATATTGTGTCTCATACATGAGTGTGTGAGTCTGGTTTTAAGCAATATCACGGCGGGGGACACAAGAAATGGTCTTCACACTTTGTGCCCATGTCGGGAATCGAACCCGGGTCTTCGGCGTGACGACCGAACGCTTTAACCACTAGGCTACCCGACCGCTCGTGTCTAACACATGAGCCTGAATCAGAGTTGCCAGACCCAAGGCGATGCTGATTGTTTCTAGGATCATGAAATATTTTATGCGCAGGTCAAAGGTTATTTCCTTCTTCAGTTGTATGACCTTCCATTAGTGAACACGAACAGTGTCTCCGATACCTTTTATCATATATACGTTGCTGAATTTTTGTTTCCAATATACAAGCTTATCTTTTACTTGATCGATCATCACCTTCCGCTTCAGTATCAATTGGTTTGTGCCATGTTGCGCGTTATCCTTGACATCATGTTGCAGCAGTTTATAGAAAGTCAGAATCATAAGAGTATGTTCGCAACCTTATCAGATTTAAGGGGCGGTCGGGTAGTCTAGTGGTTAAAGCGTAGGCTCGTCACGCCGAATGCCCGGTTTCGATTCCCGACATTGGTACATTGTGTGATACCCATTTCTGGTGTTCCCAGCCGTGATATTGCTGGAATATTGCTGTATTGATGTAAAATCAAACTCACTCACTCATTACTCAGATTTAATATATCACCGTATGTTCACTACTGACAAATGGGTTGTGTCTCTTTCTCTCACTCAACAGACAAGTGTGGTGTTAATAATTAGCGCACTTAACGAAGAAAGTTGAGAAGTATTATCATATATTCTTTACGACCGCCTCCGTGGTCTAGTGGTAGAGCGTCCGCCCGGGGAGCGGAAGGTCCGGGGTTCGATCCCCGTCGTTACCGATCATATCAAAGGACGTTAAAAGATGGTACTTGTTGTTACCCTGTCTGACGCTCGGCATTAAGGGGCTAAAACAAGGACTGGTCGGCTCTGAGTCAGTATACAGTGCCTGAGTTGGGAATTCACGTTGAAACAGCGGCATAGTATCTCAGTGAGCTAGCACTATAAAATCGGCATCAGTCCGGACTAGTACAAGCAGCCACACTCACACGTGCATGCACGTCGCTATAAGTGCAAAAATCTTGAACGCGACGCTGAACCCCATTTCACCTCACCTCACCTCACCTCAGCTCACCTCACCATATATTATTTGCTTTTATAAAGATGTGGATACTTAGGAAAATATAGTTTTATATACGTCGCTATTCAAACTACAGTGGTAAATATTCATCCATCAAATTAGAAAACAGCGATCAAAATTGCTGACCCTGAATACTGTATCAAATATAACTTGCGGTCATTAGCTAAATTTAGATGAAGGCAAAAGTCCCCAGTGTCCGAAACCGGAAGAGCTGCGGGCAGAATGACCAGGTTCAATCTGCCTATGAAAGCCTACCGTGTTCGACCATCAGTTGGAATACTAGTATTTAGGGAGATTTGGGTCTCCTTGTAGCCTAGTTTAAACGGTAAATTAAACTCATCCAAAACGTCGCCCTTGCATATTGACGTACAGCCCCCCCCCCCCTACTATTGTTCCGCTACTTTCGTCAGTTTCCAATAATGATCAATTATAGGATTTGTATTATTGGTTAAATACACTCATTGATGGATTGTTACCTGGGTCTGTTGTATCGAAACGTATCTACAACCTTTGGGTTACTGTAAGATTGACGCTTCGCATTTAATTGGCAAGAGGAATGGCAAGGCAGCGTATTCAGCGTTGTCCTTCGGGCTATTGCTCCGAAAATGGACACTGCCTCCAGCTAAAAGAAAAAAACGTAGCTGCGTGGTCACACCATGGCCAGGGTATGGTCGTGTCATCTAACTTTAGACCAAATATCCACAGTACACAATGATCAGTCTTCACTCCATCCTGTCGACTGAGGGTAATCCCAGCGGGGGCGTTTATACGCTTTCATAATATTCCCATTGTCATCACACGGCTCACCCACGTGTATTGATAAGGTGCTTGTTAAATACTTACCGTAACTATTATATGTTCTGTGGATGAAAGGATTTGCCATGCGCTTTGTTCTATCTAGTTCCTCCTTGCGACAGAAACTCGTTGTAAATCTTGGACCTTTGTGGGTGGAAATATTTTTTTCTTCCACTGATCCTATAGAATTGTTCCTAACACCATGTTGGCATTTACCTTAGAGATTTACAAGAATATACCACGGGTGAAAGTCAGAACAAGTTATCTTTGGTCATGACAGGCGAAAAGACCAGAGAGATGATGTACGCGAGTTGAGCTGGTCACAGTGACATTGTCTGATGTGTCTGTTGACTTTTTTAGTTTAGATCCGACACACAAACTCACAAAGAAAAAACGTCATCGTTAATCACTTATCTTAATCGTTACAGGCGTTTTGTTTCATATTTTAACCTCATTGTAGTAACTTAATTCGTTCAGATAGCAATCATCATATAAATGAGGTGACATTAGGTTCTGGATTGTTTTGGATTGTTCTGGATTGTTCTGGATTGTTCACTGGTCGCCGTCATACAGCTGGAATAATGCGGCGTTAAACAACAAAGAAACATTTCGGCCGACACGTGGGCTAGCCTGGTGGTTAAAGTTGGCTCGTCCCTGGAGATTCATGTTCGATTTCTCAATCTCTTATTATATTGTATACTACTCAAAAGACGTTAAGGAACGCCCGCTCTTTGATATGACTATAGCTAATATGTCATGCCAAGCCATGACAGTTGCAATTCTCAAGTATGACACTTTTTGCTTTCTTACATGAGCTAATGTTTTTCAATTATCGTTTATGGTTTTTTTCAGGATCTGGTTGCCTGGGTAACCCTCGGAACCTATCATATACCTCAGACAGAGAACGTCCCAAATACTGCAACTACTGGTGGCCATCTGTCTTTTCTGCTTGCACCCTTCAACTATTTTAAAGAGGACCCCTCGATGGGATCACGTGATGCTGTTCGGGTTACGCCAATGGACAAAAAGAACCCGTATTCTGGAGCTGTGGTAGAACGGTACGGACTGAAAGGAACGTCAAAATGTTCACCGCCGGAACTTCTACCAGATGACCTATTGCAGAAAAATAGTTCCTCCCTGTTTGCCTGAAACTCTTTGTCAGAAAACACTTCCACACTACAATGCAAACTTCATATCCTAATACTTAGGTACGAGGATGACACTTTCATCTAAGAGACGTCATATCCTAATACTAAGGTACGAGGATGACACTTTCATCTAAGAGACGTCATATCCTAATACTTAGGTACGAAGATGACATTTTCACATAAGAGACGTCATATCCTAAATACTTAGGTACGAAGATGACATTTTCACCTAAGGAAGGTCACATCCTAATACCTAGGTACTAAGATGACATTTTCACCTTAGAGCCGTCATATCCAAATACTTAAGTACGAGGATGACATTTTCACCTTAGAGACGGCATATCCTAATACTTAAGTACGAGGATGACATTTTCACCTTAGAGACGGCATATCCTAATACTTAAGTACGAGGATGACATTTGCACCCAAGAGACGTCAAATCCAATACTTAAGTACGAAGATGACATTTTCACGAAAGAAACGTCACATCCTAATACTTAGGTACAAAGATTACATTTTCACCCAAGAGACGTCACATCCTAATACTTAGGTACAAAGATTACATTTTCACCCAAGAGACGTCATATCCTAATACTTAGGTACGAGGATGACATTTTCAACTAAGAGACGTCATATCCTAATACTTAGGTACGAGGATGACATTTTCACCCAAGAGACGTCACATCATAATACTTAGGTACGAGGATGACATTTTCAACTAAGAGACGTCATATCCTAATACTTAGGTACGAGGATGACATTTTCACCTAAAAGACGTCATGTCCTAATACTTAGGTACGAGGATGACATTTTCAACTAAAAGACGTCATGTCCTAATACTTAGGTACGAGGATGACATTTTCACCTCCTTCAAATGTCACATCCTTATATGAAAATGCGAGGGTGACATTTTCACCTAAGACACGTCATATCCTTATACTTAGGTACGAGGATGACATTTTCACTTAAGAAACGTCATATCCTTATGCTTAGGTACGAAGATGACATTTTCTTTCCAAATGTGTCCCCTCTAAGCACTTTGAATCGCGTTCGTGTTTCCTTCTTCGACTAATTGGAATCAACTGATACTCCTTCCGCCCATGCCTATCATTCGGTTGCATTCGATTGGCTCAGAGCTCCACGTGGCAATGCCCCATCGCGAGGTGAAATCAACCACAGCCAAACTCAACGCTTCCAGCTACAATCATAGCAAACTCTTGTTTCATTACACGCCGCCGTTGCTACCACCCTCTCCAAGAGGATCAATCTGATTCACTTCCAGCAACGTGCGTGAAGTGAACACATGCTATTAAACAATGCTATCAAAATGGCGATCAAACAATACATGCTTGTGTGTTCAACATTAAGACTCTTTTGAGGTAAACCGTCTTTTTAATAAAGCGTAGTTTGTATTGCATCTGAATATAAACTGTTTTATCCGCGGCCGATCGAAAACACTGATGAGCTCTTCACAAACAATCCGTCCAACCTTAGAACCTAAAATAACGTACCAGCAAAGTGCATCCTTATTATCCAGTGTTTTATACATTTAAACTACACTGGATGAATACACATTTGTCATAATAGAAAGGATATGTTATACCCTCGATAATCGAGGATGGTAATATGTTTTCATTTCTGACCAACAAAGGCAAGCATACTATGGTGACGTGTGTGGGTGAGATCATCTATTTAACCGAATAACTGTATTTTACCACACGTGACCATCTAGTACCTACTTTTAATTAGGTGCGTTTATTTATTGAATATGTGTTTACAGAAGGAACCTCCATCCCCCAACTGCCGTTTGTATGTTTCTCTGATTTACAGGTCTGTCTGCTTATTATCCATTTATTATCCACGTTTTCAGTATAACTTATGTAAACGTTAACGTTTCAATACATGTGTTTATTTCATGTTATTTGTCCATTTAAACAACCCTCATTCACATCTATGAACATTTATATCAAAGAGTCAATTACCTTTGTCTCTCGTAACCGCTCTGGTATGCTGATATGCATAAAATATGTTACATTACCATTTCCATTGACTCAAACATTGAATTATTCATTTTCTAAATCAACTTTAGCTTAACCGTTTTAACGGTATACAATTAAGTAAAACACAAGTAGCCTGATGAATGTGATCCTATTCATCTCCACAAACATTTCATTATTTGTTTATTAATAAACATTTATTTTCTTAACAGTTCATATAAATATTTAATTTCCTTTGTAAACTTTAATATTTATTCGCTTGATTTTAATAGGATAATTATTAACACAAGCAGTAGGCATATGTCAGGGAGAATCTCTGGTGGTGATGATGATGCAACACTTGGCATCTGCGTCAGTAAGATATCCATGTCGTCTGAGACGCGAGATCTACTGAACCGGTTAACCTCTGCGTTCTCCCAAGGAGGTTCTTACCTTACATTCCACAACGATAGTTTCAAAACGATATTTTTTTGTTATAAAAAACTAATCTCCGCTATTCGCGGCGTCGGTGAAAATTTATCGGTTCCTAAACACTTTCTCGCGTTCGCTCCCGCTGTCTGTCGACGATTCAGGAATACCACTGGGTAATGGCGAGAACAGACCCCTAGTTGCCTGTTCTGGTGGGAACATTGTCACTATTTATGACATTTGCGAAATCTTTCGTCCGTGTTATCGCCTTTAGACCAAACAATTTTATTGGCGAACAAGCTTATGTGAATTTTACTGATATGACGCTTTTGGCAAAAACAAAGTCGACATTGATAGAAGCAATATAAACTGGTCTGAACTCAGTTTAACGGCTGCAGAACTGGAATGTTTATTCATACTTTGGTAGGGAATAAAACGATTAAACCATATTGAACCCTGTTAACATGTATTTGAATCATACTTTGCTTGGAAGCTTTTCAAAACGCAAATATAATTCCAAATTTATCATAATATTTTTTTGCCAGTATACCAAAGATAACTTCCCAAGACGTCATAGTGTGTTTGTTCAGTCGATTTCACCATGTGAGTGTCTACGAATGGAGGAACTATTATGTTTATTTTAGATGCTCATGCGCGGACATCATCATATATTTATTAGCATCGTGTATGTGAGTGATTGAGTATGGTTCTACGCCGCTTTTAGCAATATTCCAGCAATATCACGGCGGGGGACACCAGAAATGAGCTTGTACCCATATGGGGAATCGAACCCGGGTCCTCGACGTGACGAGCGAATGCTTCAACTACCAGATTATCTGTGAGCCCCTAGCTCCGTGAATGACTGATATGTAGTATCATTTCATATTGGTGTGACAAGGTAGCAGGAACTAGTTTTGGTGTTTTGTCTTAAAAAAATAAAAATGATTTCAGTAATGATATTTTGAAATAGATGGCATGTCACTGGGGTGAGATATATGGTATGCGTTTAATTTTCATAGTTGTTTTTGGTATGACTTTTATTTGAACTGCCGCTGAGAATGTGTTCGCGACGTGTTTGTATATTTTACGGGCGTCTCGGCATGAGTTTCAAATAATGTTTTAATGTATGGAGCATGTTACCGTCAATCGGCATTACTCGACTGTTTACGTAATAAGTCGCGGATAGCCACGAATGGTGTGGGGAGGGATATTGATTTGATGTAGATCATGATGTGATATCATCAAAACATTTGATAACATTAATTCATAATATAAACATCAATATCATTCAAATTGTTATTAAGTTCACCCAGAACTGTTAACATCTGGTTATTCGTTTTTCTCAACGACGAAACCCAAGTGAATTTTACAACACAAAACGTGAAAAACCTCATATTTTAAACGCAGGTGAGAATATACACCCTAGTTTCCATTGTAAATACATCATCTAGTTTTCTGTTAAGAGACGCTATATGTTTCTCACAAGTATGGAAATTTACATCCGAGATATGTTTAACCGTAACTATATGTTCCGATTGCCCAATGGTCGGCAACGCGCCTCACGCATCCCTGGGTCTCAAACCCCAGGATGCTCAACAAACACGGTACATGTATGTGCGATGTTCGTTAATCAATGGTGGATTGAAGCCTTCTGCACATCATTGTGCAATTTGTAATACCTCTACTATTATCGCATATCATGTAGCGAGATACATTCATCTCATGTCGGTTAATTCCGGTATCTCGGATATAGCACATGGAGATCCTTCAGTTATGCATCTCAAGTACAGCCATGTGCTTTGTGATGAAAGAGAGACTATGGCAGGGGGATCTGTCAGTCCTTTGATGCTTGAATCAAGTTACTAAACTATTAAAAGTTCGCTGATTCAAATTTTATGTAAATTAAACTTGTTGTTATTGATATTGTATTTAGAGACTGGTCATTTATTTGAGAGTGGGGTAGGGTTGAGATTGTTTCAGGGCTGTATCATATTTTACGGGCGCTTCGGCATGTTTGAAGCCTCCGTTTCGTCCCATCCTTGATTTGACAAGGGGCGTCATACAAAGACTCGCCTTAATGACTTTCTGACTTACATTTTGAATCCTTTAAATGTATGGATAGGGAATGACCTATCAGACCGAATGCCAATACGCTCAGAGAAACAGGTTAACTGTACTTGAAGTCTTTATCTGTGCAATAAACTGTCTCAATATCATGACCCTTTGTTTTGCTTGAGACCGCCTCCGGTCTAGTGGTAGAGCGGAAGGTCTGGGGTTCGATCCCAGGCCGTGTCATACCAAAGGATGTTAAAAGATGGTACTTGTTGTTACTCTGTCTGGCGCTCGGCATTAAGGGGCTAAAACAAAGACTGATCGGCTCGGAGGCAGTATACTGTGTCTGGGTTGGGTATTCATTTTAAATTGCGACATGTTATCTCAGTGGGCTAGCACTATAGCACTAAGCCGGCATCAGTCCAGACTTGTACAAGCAGCCACACACACACACGCACGCACGCACGCACGCACGCACGCACACACGCACGCACGCGCGCGACGTTGAACCCCATTTCACCTCACCTCACCTTGTTTTGTTTGAAGACGAGTGAATGGTGTTTGTTGTGTCTGTTGTTTTAACGCCGCACTCCGCAATATACCGGGCATATATTGTGGCACGTGGACCTGTGCACAGCGCACAGATCAGAAATCAGGTGAAGTTAAACAACGTCGGTCTCGGAGAGTTGTTGGATGGGTGACCACGTTAAGCAGCTTGACTCCTGAGAGTTTCTAGGGCTTCGGTCCTGCCCCACACTGAAGCACATGTACCACGTGTGGTGTCTCCTTAGGCAAGTGACTTTGTTCGAAATGTGCCTCTGTTCACCCAGCAGTGAGTGGGTGCCCGGTAGGATGAGATGGTAATGTGACTTAACCTTCTAGCACCTCACAGGCAGCTTGGGTTGTATACTCCCCAGGGAGCTGAGAATGAAAATCGAGCGCTCACTGATCAATTGACCGGGGTAATAATAGTGTAGCGCTATGTGCATCCTCTTGGTGAATGGAATCTTGCGCATTTTAAATGCACTTGTTATTATAATTTATTATTGGACATATGACGGCGGTCTTTAAATGATCGAGTCTGGATCAGACAATCCAGTGATTGATATTGTGGGGAACTATCCCCGCCGCTAGGGTACGATGATACGCCATCAACTAAGCCTGACCACCCAATCCATTAAATGTTCCTTATGACAAATTCCCAATTAACAAAAAAACAAACAAAGCGAAAATATAATATTATAATGAAAAATGGGATACACACAACTGATTGAACGTCCCGTTCAGTGACGACTGTGTACGTCAGCTACCACGACACAACACCACGCATCAAAATATCACCACAGTCACCCGTGAAGATCCGGGGTAGAATAGGTCTTCAACAACCCATGCTTGCTGTAAAAGGCGACTAATGGGATCGGGTGGTCAGGCTCGCTGACTTCGTTGATGCATGTCATCGTATCCCAATTGCGTGCATCGATGCTCATGATGTCAATCACTAGATTGTCTGATACAGACTCGATTCCAATATTTACTGTTTAACGCCGCGTTCAGCAATATTCCAGCTATATGACGGCGAGCCTGGACCAGACTGTCAGGTGATTGGCATCATGAGCATCGATGTATGCAATATTATGAGTCGCCCGTTAGTCGCCTCTTACGACAAGCGTGGTGTGCTGAATAGCAATTCTAACCCGAATGTTCACTGGGAAAGTGTTTTTCCATGCTTATAAACCGAAAAAAGAAACTTAAAACAACATTTATCAACATTTTTATGTTTCGAACATACTTTCCATGAACCTTAGGAAACGCGCGTAACATATCTGTTGCTGGCGTACGGATCTTGAAAAGGACATTCTATAAACCAGTGAGTCTTATCAACACCTCTGTAGCCTCGTGGTACACTCACTGGGCTACAGATATGAAGGTTGCGAGTTCGATCCTCGGGAATATAAAGAAAACATTTCTCATTTGATTTTACATTTCATTACATGTTACAATCTGAACGGAAGTTATATTAATAAAATACCCAGGACATTATATAAATTCCCTGGGATATTATATAAAATCCCAGGGACATTACAATGTCCCTGTTTATGAGATTTAACCCGACTGGAAAGTAAAACCTCACAATAGGTTTTAATGCCTATAGAAAGAAGTCTCTTACTTAATAGCGATCCCAATGAATAGGTTTATAACGCCTGAGTATGATGCCCTCCAGGCTTGCACATGGCATATACGGGAAGGAAACGGGGTAATATGCTCTCGTTACGTGTTTGTACTTTTCATTAACATTTCGACCCGTGAAGATCCGGGGTAGAATAGGTCCACGGCAACCCAGGCTTGACGTAAAAGGCGACGTGGCTTTATGAGGAGACTTACGGGATCGGGTGGTCAGGCTCGCTGACTTGGTTGATGCATGTCATCATAGCCCAACTGCGTGGATCGATGCTCATGTTCAATCACTTAATTGTCTGGTCCAGACTCGATTATTTACAGACCCCCGTCATACAGCTGGAATGTTGCCGAGTGCGGCGTTAAACAACAAACAAACAAACATTTACAGTTCTCCAAGCCTATGTGTGTGTGTCCAAATGGTGTGGATTAAAAGAAATCCCGGCTGTGAATTGTTAATCCTAACCGTATAATTGACAAAGCGGTAGTCTGGTAACCAACGCTACAGGTGGTTCTTCAGCATACATTATGGTCTGTCGTCAAACATTCCACCGTAATAATCAAGGTAAAAGCCTGGTACCTTCACTGCCACTGTGTCTATCGTTTCTATAGAATTTACCTTATATATAACATAAAATGAGATTCTTTAACAAGCATGCTTTTTTAAATCATTTTCAAAACCGTTTATGTGATATGATAGAATTTCGTTAGGAAGCAGTTTAAAAGTTAGTAGTGGATGAAAACTTTATTACAGAAGTTTTCAGACATACAGTAACCTCATTTATATTTAATGGTAAGGGTTTGCAGAAATACGAGCTGGCGGTGTATCTGTTGTTAGCACGGTTTTGCCCTGCGATAATCGCAATTCACTTGCAAAGTTACGTCCCTTAGTTGTACCGGGATCTTCTTATCAGTGGGTCTTATTACAGCTTCGCCCCGATTATAATACTTGTACGATTTGTCTGCACAATACCAATGCTCGTCAGTTTTACCTTAGTCGCAAACTTCGATTTGACCTGCATTACTACATTGATGGAGGGGGAAATCTTCATGGAAATTGTTAAGGAAAGGGGCGTGTGTTTTTTGTTAGTGAGTGAGTTAGGTTTAACGCCGCTTTGAACAGTATTCCACTTGTATCACGGCGTGTCATCTTCATGTGGGAGGAAAGCCCGAAGAGATGCAAACCTCAGATGAAGGGACGCAACTCTGCACAGCGAATTGCGACAATCTTAGGCGACTGAGCCACCCGTGCCCCTAGTTTCTCCTGAGACACTGATAAATAACTGAATACATGAGTAACGATAAACATCAACCTGAAATACAGTGGTCTTCCAAATTTGTGATCAGTTTGGGACAGAGACGAGAAGCGGCGAATGTAAAAGGCTCTGTATATATGTGTAGGAGACTCAACTTGAACTGGATCAGGAGAGGGTACGAATACCATGTATCAGTTTGTTTCCAATTAGGTATGGTAGGTCAAAACCGATACTACTTAGTATACTTCCCGATGCTTCCCTATACTTTCCGATACTTCCCAATACTCCCCTATACTCCCAAACCTTCCCTTCACTCCCCTAGAATTCCCTATACCTATGCTCCCCTATACTCCTAATACTTCCCTATACTTCCCTATACTCTCCTATACTTCTTATACTGCCCTGTGCTCCCCTGTATTCCCTATACTTCCTTCCCTATACTCCCCTATACACCTTATACTGCCCTGTACTCCCATGTACTCCCCTGTACTCCTTCTCCTTTCCTATATTTCCCTATACATCTTATACTACCTGTACTCCCCTCTCCTTTCCTATACTTCCCTATACTCTCCTATACTTCTTATACTGCCCTGTATTCCCCATACTTCCTTCCCTATACTCCCCTATACACCTTATACTACCTGTACTCCCCTCTCCTTTCCTATACTTCCCTATACTCTCCTATACTTCTTATACTGCCCTGTACTACCCTATACTTCCCTCTACTTCCCTATACTTTTTATCCTCCCCTATACTTCCTATATTTCCCAATACTTCCCAAAACATCCTATACTTCCCTATACTCTCCTTTACTTTCCTATACTCCCCTATACTCATTAAACTGCCCTGTACTCCCCTGTACTCTCCCTTACTTACCTATACTCCCGTCTACGTCCCTATACTTCCCTATAATTCCCTCCACTTCCCTCTACTTCTCTATACTCTCCTTTACTTCCCTCTACTTCCCTATACTCCCCCATACTCTCCCTTACTTACCTATACTCCCGTCTACGTCCCTATACTTCCCTATAATTCCCTCCACTTCCCTCTACTTCTCTATACTCTCCTTTACTTCCCTATACTCCCCTATACTTCCCTATACTCTCCTTTACTTCCCTATACTCCCCTATACTTCTTATACTGCACTGTACTCCCCTCTCGTTTCCTACACTTCCCTCTACTCCCCTATACTCCTTATACCGCCCTGTACTCCCTATACTTCCTTCTACTCCCTATACTCTCCTTTACTTCCCTATACCCCCTATACTCCTTACACTGCCCTGTACTCCCATGTACTCCCCTATACTTCCCTCTACTCCCTATACTCTCCTTTACTTCCCTATACTCTCCTATACTCCTTACACTGCCCTGTACTCCCATGTACTCCTCTATACTCCCTATACTGCCCTATACTTCCCTCTACTCCCTATACTCTCCTTTACTTCCCTATACTCCCCTATACTCCTTACTCTACTTCCCTATACTCCCCTTTACTCCTTATACTGCCCTGTACTCCCCTATACTTCCCTCTACTCCCTATACTTCCATGTACTCCCCTATACTTCCCTATACTCCCCTATACTCATTACACTGCCCTGTACTCCTATGTACTCCCCTATACTCCTTACACTGCCCTGTACTCCCATGTACTCCCCTATACTCCTTACTCTACTTCCCTATACTCCCCTTTACTCCTTATACTGCCCTGTACTCCCCTATA